TTTTTTTATCCTAATAACTAGAGTAGTACTAGTTACCTTACCTTATTATCCTTTTAAAAATACAATTGACTTTATCCCATTACAGTATACTTTTAAAGTAAAATTATCTTAACTACTATTTCTTAATAAACTAAATTTAATATAATGGGACCCACTCTAAATTAATCTTCTCTTCTTCCTCCCCTTCCCCAACATCTTTCTCCCTCACTTCGGCATCTCCCTGCCTTCTCAAGCATTATCACAAGTCATGAAGTCATTGCAATTTCATAATGAAATTTGAATCTCTTTTCCATAGGAAAAAATGGTTTCTTAGGAATTAATTTTTCAAAACAACCAACGCAGTCATAATGCAAGACATGTAGGTTAGGTTGTTCAGAATCCAATTTTATTAGTCTGTACAAATTAGATGGAAAACAACCATTCCCCTTAAATTAAAATAAGATAAAAGCATGCCATTTTGATATCTATATGAAAAAAGACCAACAGCAACAAATTCAAATGAACAAAACAAAATTAACTAAAAAACTACATATGATTGGTTGATTTTATTAAGGACATAGGATACAAACATATACTTGAAAAGAGAATGGCACAAGACTATAAAAATTTTCATGTATCTAAGTACTTACTGTGATTTAAGCTAGCATCTAACATTTTCATCTTTGTAGTTGTTGAGCATATGTTGTTTTAGACAGTTCAATCCAAGATATGACATCTAGAACAATGGTAACTAATACCATCCCTATCCACCACTGAGCTTTTCAATTGTGTTGAACAGTCGTGACAAATCTTTGGGAAATGACGAACGAAACTAAACCCACCAAAGCACATAACAGGTTACCATAACCAACCATTCTTTATAGTACACTTGAGGTTCAAAACCAGCCAAGACCACAATACCATATTTGGCTACAGATTGAATAGCCCAAATTTTGTCTTTGATTCCTTTGGTATTTGTAAAAGGTGGAAACATATCTTTGAGAAAAAAGCTTTGTAACCAAAAACAGAAAATGACATAACTGATTCCTGCAAATAACCAATCTTTATAATTGGCCATGGGAGATGTGATAAGAGCAAAGTTGAACATGCCATGTGCAATACTTACAACCATCAAAATCAAATCATTGATTCCTTTGGCATTTGTAGAGGGCATTGAACTATCTTTGGAATATTGATAGAAATTATAGAGACTTTGAAGCACAACACCAATTGCCTTAACTAACCAATTTTTATAGTCATATAGGGGAGATTTGAAAGCAGAAGACACGAAGATACTATGTGCAAAATATATAACAATTGATGAAAAAATATAAAACACACTAGCACTTTCAGTTGTGGTATTTGTACTAGGATCTTCTTCCAAATCCAACTAGTACTTATCTAGCCAGCTCTTAAAACTGAAGAACACAAAACATATGGAAGCAATTATCCATGTGGGAAACTTCAACTCATGGCGGTTGTAAGTAATAGATCCAATGACTCCAATGATAAAACTAAACAACTTAAAGTCTGTTTGCGGTTGTAATACCACTAGTACACATAGAAGAAAAATTGAGATGCACAACATAGCACTGAGGCCCCTCAAGGAATTATCATAAAATTTTGCAAAAAGAAGTGCTATAATAAATAAGAAGAAGTTTGACGTTGAATTTATCATGCAACTACACCTTCCATGAAGAATTTTAAATTGACTCCAACGTTTTGAATCTATTAACGAGCCAAGGCCAATAACTATCAATAATTGCGTTTTGACTCTTCTATCATATTTTGAACTTAATTCTATATTCAATAGAAGAAATATGGCGGAGAACATGGCAAGTTTACCGACCAGTTTAGCCTTTAGTTGACCCTTTGCTGCTTCATTGTAGAGATGCATCTTGAGGGCTTTCAATAGATTCCTCATCTTCTGAATAATAGGATCCAGCAGAGATCTCATTGTCGATTGGAAATACATTTTGAGGGCTTTCCATTGATTGCTCACCTCCTCTTCAATCTAATCCTACAAAAGCATTACTCAATAGATAAGACTGGTTACTATTAATAATGGATGAAACTTGATAACCATCCTCCCAATCCGTGGCACTACAATTGAATCTCTCATATCTTCCATTTGGGAGAAATCTAAGAAAGAACTTGTAGCACATTACTATGATGAATTAATTGTACATGCTATACACTAAAAGTCTGTTTCCCTAGTACAAGTTGGTGTAGAATTCAAAAATAATACATTGAGAATATGTATTAGTCAAAGGTTTTAGTGGAGACCTTGATTAGTATTGGAATGTGAATTGGTTCTTCCTTGGTGGGACTTGTGCAGTGGACCTTCCATGAACTTGCATTAGTGCTACCATTGGTATTGAAATTTGGCGTGGATCTTCAGGCTCGTCATTTGCCGTGCTTCTTTTTTCTTTTTTAAAATAGGCAATGCATTTGCCGTGCTTTTGGGTCATTTGACGTGGGGAGTGGGGAATTCCGTTGACCTTAATTAGTATTGGCATTTGACCGTCACTTAGCTTACTAGCCATGTTCGTTTTCTTCTCATTTTTAATGTTGTCCACAAGTGGATGCTTTTGCAAATAATTTTTTTTTAAAAATTTATAAATTCTTTTTAAGGAAAAAAAGTTATAACTTTATGGCATAGATTAAGAGTATATTATATAATAAGTCAAATGGTTAGATCCACTAATATATAAGTACGGTCTTATAAGTCATATTTAGAGTTTAAGTCTTTGGGTCAACAACAAAAAATATTAAAAAATTTTTAATACACCAAACTGATCTGACATGAATGATGTACCCTTAAAATCGCTTGAAAAAGGATTAGTCTTAAAATACACAAAAGCAAATGTCTAATTAGTTTTATTTTTATAAAACTACACAATAATTTTAAACTAATACCATCTAAATAATTTTAATTAAAAATTTGATTAAAGGGACAAAGGATATACCAAAATTTTATTTTAAAATTTAATATAAAGAATCTTTACTCATACAATATGGGATAACTCACCCTTGTCAAACCCTTTGTCCACTTATCTTAGGCTTTAAAAAAAAGACTTCCAACA